ATTGTCACATACCAGTTATATACTCATTACACATAGATCACGGTGTCACATAACTCATATTGTCACATACCAGTTATATACTCATTGCACATAGATCACGGTGTCACATAACACATATTGTCACATACCAGTTATATACTCATTACACATAGATCACGGTGTCACATAACACATATTGTCACATACCAGTTATATACTCATTACACATAGATCACTGTGTCACATAACGAATATTGTCACATACCAGTTATATACTCATTACACATAGATCACGGTGTCACATAACACATATTGTCACATACCAGTTATATACTCATTACACATAGATCACGGTGTCACATAACACATATTGTCACATACCAGTTATATACTCATTACACATAGATCCCCGTGTCACATAACACATATTGTCACATACCAGTTATATACTCATTACACATAGATCCCCGTGTCACATAACACATATTGTCACATACCAGTTATATACTCATTACACATACATCACTGTAAACAAGAAGATGCCTATGGGAAGGGGCAAACCATAGACACCCACCCAACTGTAATCAGCAAGTATTCAAGCTGATTGGTAAACCTGACGAAGGAACAACTTCCGTTAATGGTAAAGAGACAAGAGCCCTGTTAGGTACTGGGTCAACAGTTTCCCATAGTCTCCACATATAGAATAGTATATAGAAGTTGAAGTTCAGGGTGCAGGTGCAACCACAGCGAAGCTTCCTTGTCTCATGCTTTTGTCCCTGATACCCCTTACAACACTGCAGTCTCAGTGCTGTTAGGCACAAATATCTTATCTTGCTACATGGATGAATGTAAGCAACAGTATGGAAACCAATTTCTACAAAAGGCTGATATTCAAAGACCATGGAATTTGCTCTTACAAGAGAGGGAACCTGCACGACACAACTACTCATTTGGTAAGATTCGAAGTCGTTCCTCCTAACACCGAGAGAGTTATCCAGAGATACTTGTTCAAACCTATTGCCTACAGAGACACATGTGCTGTGGTACAACCGACTACAATTTCTCTGCAAGCCCATCTGACATTGCCCCTACTGTTGTCAAAGTCAATCATGATGAGAAGATCATGGTTCAAGTTCATGTCTCCACAAGAACATCTGGACCGTTTTGGACAGATCCTTAAGAGAGCTAGGGATACACAGATAATTTTGAGAAGTCTGATGAAGGAGCTGTGTACTATCTTGGGAATGGAGAAAATAAGAACTACTCCGTATCGACCAATGTGCAATGGGATGGTAGCCCGTTTTTTTACAGGATGCTAGGAATGCTAGGAAGCATGCCAGGAACTCTTGAGCAAGACAAGAAGACAGACTGGAAGAGTTACGTTGCCTCACTAGTCCATGCCCATAGCCAGTCGCCATTGTGTTTGATATTCCCTACCGAAAAAAACCATCAAGAGGCTTATGACTTTGCAGCCAGAGCATCTCGGACAGCCAAAGACAGGCAGAAGACTGGCTATGACTTAAAAGTGAGAGGTGATATTGTCCAAGCAATTGACACCAATCCTAAAACACTACAAAAATAATATCTGAGCGACACAGATTGTGTGTTGAATGGAGTTCTATCTCCACACGGTTTAAGGACTTGTATCATTGTCATTAAATCTAGAACTGTCATGGGTAAACAGCAACACCCTGTAGCAGCCCATCTTTAATGGTTTTGAAAAAAGTTAGTTTAATGTGCTTTAAATCGGCTTACCCTGTATTGCGGTCAGTTTGGTGTGAAAAGCCAGTATGCTCTTCTTTCATAGGCATTTAGAAGTTGGAGTGCTAAGTAAAGATAAGAAATTTATGGATGAACAACTTCTTCATTACAATTAAGAGCTCCATTACTGGCTTCATCCATTGTTTCATGGCACTGACTTCACCGATGATTGTCATCACTGCCCTTGTGTGTACACAACAGGCTTCTCTAATCCAGTATAACAATATCTACCCTACTGTACAAACATTGCCTCCTACGTGTATATATACTTGCTTACTGCACTCTGTAAATCACTTGCTTGATAACGGTGTTAGAACCTACACCGAAACGTCGCTCTTAATTGTAATAAAGAAGTTGTTCATCCATAAATTTCTTATCCTTACTCAGTATGCTCTTCTTTAAACTTTCAAGAAGATTTTTTTCTTGCAATAAATTTTAAACAGTGTCATTTCTGCATTTAGTACAAATTTGAGGGTCAGTCAAGAAACCTAGTGAGTTATGATATCTACTTTTCGTGAATGTATATTACAATCAAATAAAAGCAATTGTGTTGTTACAATATATTAAGACACTTTTGAGTCCTGTGTATTCTGGATGCTTCTAGAACAGCTAGACTAATCCAGCACTGTATAGAACTCTATCCTTCACATTACATCTGACGATCGGCGGATGTGTGAAGATCATTGTTCTCACATTGGATATCCTGCCTCGGTCTTATTTTTGGAAGCTCGGCCACTGTTGCTGCTTGGTGAATATTATTTCCACTGCTTTTATACTGCCACTATATCGTCTACTGCCATTGTAATTTGTGTGCAGTAATTTGTAAACCTTGTTAATATTATGAAATACTATGACAATGCAGCTTGTTCTTGTGGATATGGGTATAAAAATGTATCGCACTATCCCTTTCCCTGTCCCTTTGATAATAATGTGAGACATTATTCATTCTTCTGAGGGAGTCGATCTTAATACTATATTAAAAGGTAATGCAAATTTTTAAAAATTCCCTACTAATCTAGATATCTTAAAATCAGTACATTCGTACATACTTCATTGAAAAAGGTTTAAACTAACATGACTCTGTACATCCCGAAGATATATTATTTTTTTCTTCTCATTACACCAAACAGTTGTCCATGACCACTTGCTCTGGTTAATGTATTTATGTTATCATCATGTATAGTTTTGCTTGCCTTCATGAATATTACTTGTGCTGCCTTTTCACATGTTTACCGATCCAGATTCATTGAATACAAATATGTTTTAATCATATTATAATGCAATTGTTAATTTATACGATTTCTTTGTTGTTGCTGGTTACCCACTGAAACCGTGGAATGGACTCTTAAAATTAGATTGTTTTATGATTATTGAAATGGTTTTGTCCCTAAAAATTACATGCTTTATCTTGTTCTGAGTGTACCCACATCACACTGGTTTTAGAAAGAGTATCAGAAATGTCAAATATACTCTGCAACATAATAAATGTTACTTGAATATTCGACTGAGATAAGGATGAATGAGTGCATAAGACAAAAACATGATCGTATATACGCCAAGAACTGATGACCTTTACAGAGGTCTAATGGTGGCTTATATTTGTGACGTCGTCTGTACATTCATGCTCTATCGGCTGTCCTTCACAGCTGATAACGTGACTCAACCTTCGATACTATGTGTATGTCCTCAAACATCACGAGGTAAATCGATACTATGTGTATGTCCTCAAACATCACGAGGTAAATCGATACTATGTGTATGTCCTCAAACATCACGAGGTAAATCGATACTATGTGTATGTCCTCAAACATCACGAGGTAAAATAGTACTCTCATTTCACACCTTGAACATTGAGTCAAGTCAAGGGGTAGATTAAATTATGCCTTTACCCAAAATGTGAGTTCCGTATCGTGAGGAAACGTAGCGTTAAAGGGGTATGTGAGTACATAAATTTAAATTCTGCTACACCGTCACCATCGGGATATTGTTGTGAAATCGACGAGTTGGAGCAAACCAAGCTGAATGAATGTTATAATGCAATAAAACGTGTGTGCTGTAAGTGGCGGTAAGTGAAGTCGGCCTCTTAAATTAAATTAAGAATGGGGACTGTGATTTGCAATCTTAATAACCCCTACGTTTTATGAGTTAAGAGAGCTAATCGTATCGCATTGCTGTGACTATGCGAGGGTTGCACGTATTTAGTTCATTTGACAATCTCTAGTGGGGAGGGCTGAAGTGTTCCTTAGAAAACATCACATTATGATGTCACTAATTATTTACAACTGCTAAACCCTGCTTGCTTTGTTACGAATACACACAAAGATTCATTAATGCTCAGGGTTTATGGAAACCGCCGCTGGATATTATGAAATTATTATACCGCATTGATAACATCATACTAGTCTTTGTCCATCGACATGTTGTTCATGATTCTATAGGAGATGAACATTATGTGTGTTCAGGAAAATCTACAATAGGCATGTTTATAGCGACCACAACATATTTAAGGGGAACCGATACAATGCAAAGCAGACACGTCACTAACTGTGTCCAATTCATAGGTTGTGTATTGCTGTGGCCAAGGTGACAATCTAGGTTGTTGTCAAAGTACCAAATAACGGCTCAACCAAGACGTTGTTTTGCAAAATGGTTGTCTGACTGATAATGCACAACACTACATAGACATGTACATCTTACAACATGTAATACATATACATTAGGTAAATCCTGAACGCAATATATGTAAGGTTCGGTTAGGAATTAAAATTGTGGATGGGAAAGAATATAATGAGTGTCTCATGATGCATCCACAGACAGGACAGTTCGTGTCTTCACAGCGGTGTTAGAATGAGTGATGTGTTGGGTGTGTCTTGATAAATCCACAGACAGGACAGTTCATCGTATCACAGCGTTGTTAGAATGAGTGATGTGTTGGGTGTGTCTTGATACATCCACAGACAGGACAGTTCGTGTCATCACAGGAGTGTTAGAGTGAGTATTGGGTGTGTTCTGATCCACAGACGAGCTAGTTCATAATACCACAGTGGTGTTGGAACGAAGGCTACAACAGCGATGGCCTAAGTAAAGCTTTCACAACGTTTCCTGGTGGACATGTCTAAGAATTTTATAAAATTGTTCCATCAGTGACCAAAATGATGTCAATGAAATTCCCCTGTATCATTTCTTCAAATATGTGCAACTAGGAAGGAAAACGCCTGCAAATAATTTCCCGCGTGTGTTAATGTACAACACGTATCACACATTTTTCTAATGGTATTTATTGAAAGAACAAGTATACAACAAGCCCAAACGACTAACAGCAGCATTACATAATGTGATTATAACAAGAAAGCTTTACTTAAAATCATACACACATCGATGAGCATAGAAGCACAAACAGTTTACGTTGACACCATCCTTATAACAAATGCTCAAAACATGTTTAATACTTGCGTTAACACTTCTAGTCTTCTAATACAAAATCCCGTTAGTTACAAGAAAGATCGTAGCCATCAGTTGTCAAAATACAACAGCATGTGATCATGGATCATGGTTATTTCTCGTTGACTTGTAAACAGCACACGTTACTACTCATTCATGGAGTGAAATTGTATATACATGCCGTAATAATCACTTATTTTCCTCTTTTATGGAGAAAGAAGACTTTTGGAATACACTCATGAATGCACTCATCCTTTATGAACAGGTTCACATTAAACATTAATACATAAAACATTAATACATGAACACATTTTACATCATTCGTGGCTGCCATACGGATCAAGGCAAAAGGTGTGCAGGGCTCACTAGTACCCACGACTTCGACTCCTACGTGTTTCAAAGTACAAAACATTTTCGTAGAAAATCCACTTATCGAAACCAAACTTTCACTACAGTTCTCCAATTGGTATAGAAACATATCCTAAGTTAAAAAAAACCCACGAAAAATAGCTACGATGTTTCAGAAAATCAAAATAATAAAATCAAACTTTGCACTTCTCCTATTAGTCTGGAAACTTGAACCCTAACGGAAAAGAATACTATATACCCCGACAGGTGTAATAATGCGGAGCCGAAAACGCATGTGACATCGGACAGGGTATCTCCATTCTTCTGAAACTGCTTTCGCTCGGTCCGATGTCTTAAAAAGTTTGGCTATAATGAATAAGGTGTAAAAGCATATCATGAGAATATGTTGCAGAGAGCGTAAATAACCTAAATGGTGCATATCTATTTCATACGCATCACGAGAACACTGACTGAAGCAGAACTACAAATCATCACAAGACGTCACAACCTACAAATACTACTCTCATCAGATTAGACTATCTACTGGTTGTCCAAGTGTTGTTTATTATGACTTTAAATGCCTGACCGGTCAAACTGGTGATTTATTTTCCAATGCATAGTAGTTCTGTAGCGTTACAAACTGTTTATCTATTTACATTTGATGTACTCCAGAGTTTAGAATGTTTTGTCACAAACATCACATCCTTTCATAATTATATGTGTTTGGTCGAAGTTTTGTATTAACAACTGTCTTGTGGAGTTTTGAAAAAATCTATATGTTGTTTCCGTTATCTTCTGATAATACAATGCACGTACTCGTTTTTATTTAATATTTGAAGACACCATGATGTCCATGGTGAAGAACACTAATTAATATAATGCGCGAGCGCCTCTATTTACATAACACAGCATAGTTTTACATTCGCTGGGCAGACATATATACCACAGCGGACACACATATCTCAACCGGCAGATGCAGCTTCCTCTCCTAGGCGTCAGGGGCATCATCATACATGCTCGACTGACGTTTTAAATCTATCAACTTCTCCACTTGTTCAGCTGCAGAGGTGAGGATTCTGTCAAGAGCTCTCAGGTGAAGCAGCTTGGTCTTGGTGTCTGTTTCTGTTTCCGTCACATAATTCTTGACGTAGCTGATGGCGTACGCTGGAATGCCAGTTTGTTCTGACATGTTCTTCACAGCTTCTTGTACTAGAGGGGAAGTGTACAGGTTAGGGAGATTATCTGGGTCCTTGAACTGCGGGTCACACTCATCCAGGTGAGTCAGCACCAGGTGGTAGGACAGGGCTGAAACACGATACATTTAATAGGTACAGGCGGAATTACACAAGAACAGACTCTATAGTATGCTGTAATGACCATCACAAACAACAAAACATACTACTGATCATGTGTTACTACTTATTCCAAAAGAAGTCACCTGGACATTTTATCTTCAACACTGACAATAATTTTATACATATATATATAAGATGTTAGTTTCTGGATCTACTACATGTACGTATCGAAAAGATTTTGCTTTCTCGTGAATGAAAACAATTATACTACTAAACGTTTGGTAAGGATCACCACTTTAAAAGCTCATGCATCAAATTGAGTGCATCTGTTAAAAGTGCGAAAGTCAATATTGCACGAAGACGTGTTTAATTGACAAAAGTCCGTTGTCATGTGCCACAAAAAGTGACAAATAATAAGTCATATCCCGCGTCCAAAAAATACCATAAACAGCAGGAAAAGAATGCTTGTTTTGATTAAAATATCAAAGGTAAGGTATAGGTCATCAGCAACCCATGCTTGCCGTAAAAGGCCATTATGCTTGGCGTAAAAGGCGACTAACGGGATCGGGTGGTCAAGGCTCGCTGACTTGGTTGATGCATGTCATCGATCCCAATTGCGTGGATCGATGCTCATGATATTAATCACTGGATTGTCTGGTCCAGACTCGATTATTTACAAACCGCCGTCATATAGCTGGAATATTGTGCGGCGTTAAACAACAAACCCACCAACTAATCAAAATGGGAATGAATTTTTAAGTGATGAATCAGATATTGCTAATAAACTTTGTGAAAAACATTCTTCTTCATTTAACTATGTTCCTCAATTCCAAAAAATACCATTAACAACAGGAAAAGAATACTATTAATTTTGATGCAGATAATGGGTAAGATTATAATGAAGTATGTTCTCTTCATGAGCTTCATTCTGCCCTTGAGCAAGCTAAATTACCGACCCATGGAACGGCATGGTCAACAATAGGTTGACATGGTACTTGGAATTCAATAATTTCATCATAAATATTCAATGTGGTTTTCCTAAAAGCCGAAGTAGTGTCTATCTTTTTCGATTTAGAAAAAAGCTTACGACACTACATGGAACTATTTTAAAGGATTTACATGATTATGGATTGAGTGAGTGAATGAGTTAAAATTTAATGTCGCATCGGCAATATTTCAGCCATATAGCGATGGAAGCAAGTTAATAATCGAGCATAACAATATTATATACACAGTTTTAAAACACAGGCAATAGGCCACTAGTAACCAAAGCTAGGCACCTCGCTGGGGATCATGGGGGCTTACAGTACCTCGGCTACCTGCTTGATACCCCAGCAGGAGATTTTGGATTGAGAGGCCGTTTGCCTCAATTTATATCCAACTTTTTAGTGAGTGAGTGAGTGAGTTGGGTTAAAAGCTGCTTTTTTAACATTATTCCATGTATATCATGGCGTGTCGGCTTTAATGTGGGAGGAAAGCCCGAAGTGATGCAGGTCTCAGACGGTGAAACCAACGAGCACGGGTGTGGTGCTGACAAACCTAGAAACATAATCGGAGCGAACCGGCATTCGAGCCCACAATCATAGGTTTCTGGCGTGCCCAAGAGATGCAACTCTGCACAGCGAATCGCGGCGCCTTAGACGACTGGGCCACCCGTGCCCCCTCTTACTTTTTAACTCACAGACAATTCCTTGTCCGCGAGGGCTGAACCCTGTGTGATCATTATAATCAGGCTCAGGGTGTCCCACAAGGCAGTATCTTGTCTGTTACACTATTTAGTATTAAGATAAATAGCCTGTCTGAGGTTTTAAATGATTTCATAGATGGGCCACTTTTCGTGGATAGATTTAACATATTTTGTTGTGGTAAAAATAGGCATTCAATTGAAAGACAATTACGGTAATGTCTTAATAAAATTCAAAATTGGTCACTGGAAAATGGCCTTAATTGATTTAAAGCCAAGACTAATTGTATACATTTTGTCGAAAATATAAGCCACATCAAGACCCTGTACTATATTTGGATGGCACACATATAACTTTCAAAGGAAGCCAAATTTCTGACACTTATTTTTAATAGACATTTGAAATTTAAACCCCCTATCAAATACCTTAAAGCTATATGCCTGAAGGCACTTGACTTGTTAAAAGTCATTTCAAATACAAAGTGGGGAGGTGACCTCAAGACCTTCCTCTAACAACATAGAGCTTTCATCCGTTCAAAAATGGATTACGGCTCCATCGTGTATGGGGAAGCATGCAAAAGCAATCTAAAAATACTGGATTCTATACATCATCAAGGACTACGGCTCTGCCTTGGATCCCTCATAAGTTCTCCCATTAACAGTTTATATGCAGAGGCTGATATCGTCTAGATTACCGAATGACAGTTCCATTTTTACAGCAGATGCACAGGCAAATATATAAATACTCAATCTAAACAGAAACGGTTCATTTTCTTTTCTGATTCACTTTCCTGTCTTCAGGCAATTAAGAATTTATCTTGTAAACATCCACTTTTACGAGAAATAATAGAACTACACAATGATCTTGCTACTGGCCAGTACGACATCGTCTTTTGTTGGTTATCAAGCCATGTTGGTATCACTGGTAACACAATGGCCGATGCTGCTGCTAAAGCAGCACTCACCAAATCTGTGACACCACTTCTTATCCCATAGACTGATTATAAAGCTGTAGTCAGATCTTATATTCGTGATCTGAAGCAAAAGAAGTGGGACACCCAAGTAGGTATCAATAAATTACATGAAATTAAACCAAATATCGGTTATACCTTCTTGGGTTGTCAGTCCAGATTTGAGGAGGTCATTTTACGACGATGTCATATTGGCCATAGCAGATGCACTCACGAATATTTGTTGAAAGGTGAAGATCATCCATTTTGTATCCCTTGTGACGAGAGAATCACGGTCAAGCATGTCTTGCTTGACTGTGTTGATTTTGCCATCACAAGCAATAAATATTTCAAATCATCATCTCTCAAGGATCTTTTTTATAATATTAATTCTCATTTAGTTATTGTTTATTTTAAAAGAGATATAATTGTTTAACAAATTTTGATAATATGTATTGTTTAAAATGAATGACCTTTTAAAAATTGGTACAACGAAATTATATCTGAGTTTGTTAATGGCCGTATCCTCATAGGGGGTTGACGTAGTGTAAATTCATGTCATTCAAAGGATATTTCTGGCTACTGGTGGCTAACGTTACTTGTGGCTAACGTTGCAAACAATCGCCAGTTGCTGAGGGTATGATGTAAATCCTGCTGGGGTCCATGCAGGTAGCAAAGGTACTGTAAGTCCCCATGGTCCCCAGTATGGTGGTCTGCCTTCAGTTGCTGACGATCTATAGCCCGTTTTTATATTGTGTCGTCTGTTATAATCTGATTATTTTATTGTTCTAAAACTAGTTTTAAAATAAGAATCTGTGATATTTTGCTAGTTGTTATACTGTCCTTCGACGACAAGTCTTAAGATGTTATATAAATGCATAACTTGCTCAAGTCACGATATGGCTGAAACAATGCCGATTTGACTTTAAATATTAACTCACTCACTCACTCTTCACGGGTCAGAAGCAGTGTAAATCCCCACACTCCCTATTGTGGTATCCTAAATTTGGTTGCTGGCGATCTATAACCCGTTCTTATATTGTGTTGTTGAATCGTTGTTTATTCTTTTATATGCTCTCAAACTAGTTTTAACTAAAATCGGTGATATTCTAGTTATTGTACTGTCCGTTGGCGACAGGTATTGTACTAGTATGAATTTCTTTGTTATCAAATGTCTGACTTTATCTCGTCACAATATGGTTGCAATATAGCGGATGTCAAATTCTAACTCACTAACTGACATTAAATAGTACAACATTCCTGACGACTAATCATTGTCCAAATACAATGCAATGCAATGAGCTTCTACCGATTCTCAACAGAACCGACATAATACAGTTACAATAATTGTTTAACAGTAAAATACATTGCCTTATAACAGCAGCAACGTACAAAAAAGTAAGGTTTTTACTTTGTTTCATAATCGGGGTTCTGGCATCAGTCTAAACTTACCACCATCTCCCCCTAATTTTATGATGACATCTAGCTGACGTTTCAATTCTTCTCCCAAATCGATGTTATGATGGAGTACCAGAACAACACATGACACATCCCTTCGTGCCTTTTGTTGACATTGGCCGTCTTCCACCTCCAGAGTTTTAGTTATCTTGAAACAAAGAAAAGGACATGAATCTAGATTGTGAGTAATGCTTATATACAAAAAGTGTTTACATACCTATCTGTCTAAAACTTATCCATTACGATGAATGTACTATGTCGTGCTTACCTGGGCATCAAAGCGAACCTTGCCGGATGCAATAGCTTCAATTGTCTCCGTTTTGAAAACACTGGATTCAAATATTCCTGGCATGTCAATAATCCAGTGGTCCCCATATTGAGTAGACTGGAACTGTAACATCAAGGCTCTTAGTTAATGCTTGGGATAATAGTGGGATCCACTGGCACCTAGTATGTTTTACACTTTGAACAATGTACACGCAACAAAGAACATGATTAACGTGATAAGGTACAAACTAGTATACTATCTTTAAAGGCACACTTCGGCTGATCGGTATAGTTGTTGAGGGGTGGTTTTTTAAGCAAGCATCAGTTGCGACGGACACGTTTGATACCTACATAAAATCATCAGAGAGCACAATAACGACAGAGGAGGTGTCTTAGTATTACGATGTGAACAAAACGATAATCAATAAATAATCAGGGAAGAGAAATTAGGATTATTCCAGATTTGTTCCAGAGAAAGTACACACTCTGCTAGTAAGTGTGGTGCCGATATTACCAACGGCGTAATAGGTGGCAGGTGTGTCAGAATCCTTCAGTGCTGATCTCAGGCCATTGCAGAAGGAGGACTTTCCAGAACCGGTAGGACCAAATATCAGGATCTTCGCATGTATCACCTTCTCTTCCGGGTCTTTCAAGTGTTTAAAGAATTTCTTTTGGAGTTGTTCAAACTCCTGAAATGTATTCAGTTGAAAGCAAGATAGACACAAACATGTTCCACTGACAAAAAAGGAAACTAAGGATTTGAAGGAAGCTATCGTTACAATACCAGTGCGTTGCATCTGGTCGCAACATCTAATCACAAGGAAATTGTAAATACACAAATCTAACAGCTCGTGCACAGAGAAGCCAAAGGTTGTGCGCCTATAGGGGAACTCACAATCAATGAACCGACAAAATGGCGATTTGTTGGTGGGAAAGATAGCAGGGACATCATTACCCCAAGTTGCACAAATGTTTACAAGATAAATATAAAATCTCATTTCTCAACTGAAGGACAGGTACCGCTAATCGCATGGAGTCTTTCGCGTGACAGGCTTAAAAAGATGACATCTAGACAAGATCATCACTGCATAAATTGCGCTATGCAATGGAATCAAATCTGCTTCTGTTATCAGTACAATAACAGGCAGGCAAATCTACCATGAAAAACTGGCTCCATGCAATCCGCCTGAAGGGTGAGACCCTAACAGTTCACAATAGGCGGCACATATTTGAGTGAGCTCCGCAACACCACGGGTTGTGCGCCAATGGCGTTGCGGCCTTGTTGTCAGACTAATCAAGGTTTTGCCCCCGATTCATGCATGGCAGAATACGTTGTTGGTAACGTAGCGGCGAGCAATATGCCATGGTCACATTTCCTACCCGGTATGATCGGTATGGAGGCAGTGTCTAAGTGTGGGGCAGTATCATAAATGAAAGGCGAACTGATTTGATTATTATTGTAAATCGACTTTCGACTGGTGAGTGGGTAATTGACGACATTTTGCGTCCTGTCGTTCAGACAGAAGTACCAGCAGACATTTTTACCTGCAAGATGACAAAAACAGGCGAGCACGACCACACTTCCTGACCGGTATCGAGGCAGTGTCATGGTGTGGGGCGATATTGCAAATGGCATACAAACTGATTTCATTATTGTAAATAGACATATGACTGGTCAGCGGTATACTGACGAAGACGCACGATGACTCTCTCTCTCTCTCTCTGCTGGCCTGCTGCCTTGTTTTTTGGTCCCCATGAAAACTGCTGAAATGTAAAAACAAGATTCTAAATAAATAGTTTATGAGTAAGATGATATTCCACAGGTTTACATATAAGCCTGTGAGCATATGCATTACATTACACAGTCAAATTGAACATATGTACAATTATGTTTTCCTCTCCCTTGTGTGTGTCCTGAACGTTTTAGAGGAGGTGTGATTGTTCAACTCGTGAAAGGCCTATGCGAAATTAGGGATACAGGTTAGGGACAAACTCCCGAATGCCGAGTACAAATGCAGACTTAAGAAAATCTGGAGTTCAGAGCTGAACGGTCGCAAAAAAAGTTAAATCCACAAATACTTATGATGTACCCATTCTTTCGTATTCTTTTGGTGTTTTTGATTGGATAAAACAAGAAATTCGGGCTATCGACACCATCAAGGCATATACATTTACCAATCATAATGGGAGGGCGTGGTTTGATTAATGAGGAGGTTCTTCATGACAGAGTCGTATTGTGCACTTTTGCACATATATATTTGTCTGATGACGCATGTCAAGACTCATGATGAAAACAAGGCATTCCACAGTTATCGTAAACGAGTCAAGGAGGTGGGACATAATGGCAATGTCAATGTTGCTTTTGTTGATGGTTCTGTACTGCTGGACGGTACGAATACGAGTGTCAGCCAAGCGCCTTTTTTTAGGGAGAGGCTACAAAAAAATGTAGATTGTGCTAAGAATTTAATGACATTGTTCACCACATTGTCAGTGGATGCCCAGCTTTGACACAAACACAGTATCTAAAGCAACAAGATGGAGTGGCTCGAACATTTTATTACCGCTTGTGGTTTTGGCACACAGGACTATTCATGGTACCACATAGAACATGTAGAGGGACTCATGGAAAATGAGAAATACAACATTCTTTGGAATAGGCCCGTATACAGCCTCAGACGTATCCAGGCTAACAAACCTGATCTTGTCCTTTTTTATAAATCCAATGAAATCATTTATGTTATTGAATTTTCCCTTTTGACAATAATGGGATTGACAAGATTCAGGAAGAATATGGCAAATATGCAGACCTCTCTTTCGAAATGTCACGCTTGCACCCCACGTACCAAGTTGCCCGACTCTCCACTGTTCTCGGTGCCTTATGTTTGATACCTCCCAATCTGCTAGATGACATTGGGAGAGTGAACATTCCGGGGGTACAAAAGGTCTTCAGCAACCCATACTTGCCGTAAAAGGCGACTATGCTTGTCATAAAAGGCGCCTAACGGGATCGGGTGGTCAGGCTCGCTGACTTGGTTGATACATGCCATCGATCCCAATTGCTTAGCTCGATGCTCATGATATCAATCTGAGACATGTGTTGACTTGTCGGACAACAGTTTCTTTATTTATAGATACCTATACTTATAATTTCACACTTACCATCATTGTTTTATCTCTCGTTCCCTTTTCTTCTTTCTCGAACTGCAGGTTTTGCATTTCTTCCTCAAGTGTTTTTGCTCTTTCCTCCTGTTCCTTTACACGTTTCAGCGCGTCATTGGTTCGCCTGGACTCTTTTCTCGCCAGCTCTTCCGCTGCATCTAACTGTTTAAATGCATTTTTGTTCACCTCCACAGTAAACACTATTCCAGCTATATAATCTCACCGGGCAATACAAATAGGTGTCTTTTTGCGTGAGCAAATTTAAAAAAAAATAAATGTGTTGGAAAATTGATTGTGTATTTCGAATTTTGTTTTATAATTCATAATTCATTATTCTTCGTAATTGTTTAACATTATTGTCTTTAGCCTTACAAGACTAAACTGTGACAAGGACATCACGGTATTACTGCTTTTTATGTATTATACTATATTTCTATGTGTCCCTGTATATTGGGTTAAAAACGTATAACCAATTTCGTGATCATCTGAATTCCTATTTAAAATTGATGTAGAAAATATGAATTACTTGCAATACATCGCAATACATAAAGACATATGTATCACAATTTCTTGCCTAACAATTTCTTTGCCAATCCATAGCTGTAACTGTGATAGTCATTTTCTTCTTAAATCTGATGAAATGCAGTTTTGACCATCAGCAGCTTTTACATTCAATAGAATTTCTCTTATACACATACATGCGTTATTTGTAAAGTTGTTATTGTGTCCTTATACATGTGTTATTTAGAATGAATTAAGATCAAGTATTTTTATACTGACAGTTTATCTGTGTACAGAACAGGTAGATAATGAGATTGAAATGTGCACGTTTTCAAATTGTCAAAACCCTAGTGGAGATTCCGGATCAAAATAGGTCCTTGGTGTTCTAGAGTTGACTAGATTGGATCTTGTCGCAGCATAACTTAGCAAACATTCAAACACATATACATGACAGCAAACATCTGAATGCAAATATACAAAACAAGTCTAAATAATAATGATAATATGAGGTACATTGGATGGTAAAATTGTAGTGTCGATATCCAACAACTAATCCGACCCTTAGATGTACGCAACATAAATAGAAAAAGAAATGAATATCAGGTTAGACCCGTGAAGATTCCGGGGTAGTATAGGTCTACAGCAACCCATACTTGCCGTAAAAGGCGACTATGCTTGTCGTAAAAGGCGACTAACGGGATCGGGTGGTCAGGCTCGCTGACTTGGTTGATGCATGTCATCGATCCCAATTGCGTGGATCGATGCTCATGATGTCAATCACTGGATTGTCCGGTTCAGACTCGATTTTTTTACAAACCCCCGTCATATACCTGGATTATTGATGAGTGCGGCGTTAAACAACAAACAAACAAACAAAAATATCAGGTTAATATAAGCTAATTGTGTTTTAAAAGTACAAAAATAAGCTGAATAGCAACAGAACTCCACTAAAACAATATGAGCAACCAATTGCACAATACTTTCGCTGCCCAAATGGCCTGCATTATAGATTTTAGATTATTTTTAATTGCTTCCTGTTTGCATTGTCAGTCATAACTTATTGCAACCTTCCTCAAGGGAAATACTGCTTTTTAATTTATATTATCTCTGACTACAAGGTATCTTCAGTGCACGTGTCACTTACCTTCCCCTTGGGAACTGTAAGGGAACCATATACATTATTATACATATTTATTTCATGCCAAACTGTCTGTGAAACAATAGCTTGTAGAATAAATATGTGTACATTATGAAGTCGGTGTTGAATTGAATCACTGTGAAATGTTTGTTTTTTTATTTAAATGAACGATAATCTTCTAACTTCAAAATGTATCCACATAACGCACATTATCTAAGATGATATCACCTTGTATGGATATACTTCTGTTGTAGACTGCAATACAAATGCAACATGATATGATAGTTGAAGGGATCTCACTCGGTTGGTGCACGTCATCGATCCCAATGGCATCGATTGATGCTGGTCCAGACTCGATTTTTTACAGACCGCCGTCATATAGCTGGAATATTTGCTGAGCGAAATATTGCCTGATGTTCTCCCGATGATTTTAGTTGACATCAAAACGAATGTATACTTACCAAGGGGGAACCAGCTCATGATTTATTGATTAGCTGAAAAAAGGGAAAATCATCACCTGGTATATATTTATATGAATGGTTATACACCATACATCACTGCCTCATAACTACATTAAATAATTTCATATTTCACTCAATGGTCAACAGGCTTATTATGGGCCTATCTAACATCAAATAGTCATAGTCAGTACCATACGAACAATTAACGTGTAACAAAAGGCTTAAATCCATCCACAGATTTTTCTAACTATAAATGTTTCTAACAACGGATGATGTGATGTGTCAAGTGATGTGTTAACTTACGTTGTAATGTGGCCTGCAAGGAATAACACGTTGTACCAGGTCTAGGAATAAACATTCACTGAAACTGGATACCAGGGTCGGCGGTATAAACCGGCCTGTCAGGGTTGATTTCAAGGTAGGAGGTGCAACGCCTGACAAGCCCACAAACCTGATAGCTGTGACAAGCTCAAGCGAACCTACAGGTGTGTCTGTATTGCCTGGCTACAACAGTTGGCGTAGGTGAGTTACATATTTTAATAGTGATTATAAAACTTCAAGAATAAAATAGATTCTGATCAAAATTACTTAATCCAATAAAGAAATTAAGTTTTGTTTAGAGCTTTGATGGCATTGGTTTAGCGGGCTTTGGGATACTTAGGTGTCTCTGAATTGTCACTGTGTGAGAAACTTATTTAAATGGGAGACGATAGTTTTTGTATCACAGTACTTCACATGAGGCGCACTCACAAAGATAACATTAACTGGTAGAATAATAGTTCTGTTGTGAACAGCATGTCAAATGCGAAATAGGAATGAATCAAGTTGTTGTATAGCAAAAGTTATTTCAGTTTGCATCAAGCTCATGCTTTACTGATGCGCCGACAAAATCGTCATCAGGCATATATTTTTTGTCTTACACACGATTGTATATATATATATATATATATATATATATATATATATGTGTGTGTGTGTGTGTGTGTGTGTGTGTGTGTGTGTGTGTGTGTGTGTGTGTGTGGCTTGATCGATGATAATACACCAAATTTAAGAGATATGTTTACTTACGTTGTAATGTGGCCTACGAATAATTACCAACGTGACACATTCACTGAATCAGGTTTCCAGGAACGGTATAAACAAGTAGACTCATCCCAACTGGAGTGTGTGTAACACCGGACAAGCTGACAAATCTTACAGCGAATATCTACGTTTCTCTGCAGCTGCCGTGATGGCTGAGTTACTTTCACCAACACTGTTTCTGAAACTAGATTTTGACCATATGTAGAATCTGAATATGTATGTTTGTCCATATCATGGGTAAACTAGAATATTTCAAGCTTTGTTTATAAAAATCACCTAACTAAGCAACATGAAAAGAACAAATTCATAGTGATCTGTCTCTTTCGTGTAAAGCTTCCGTGTAAATTACTGTTGTAGGCTTTTCAGTCATTTGTTATTTCTCTGGACGCCTGTCTTGTTAGCGGGGATAAATGAAAGCAAGTTTTGTTCATCTTTTCATCCCTCATATTGTAATGCTATAATAATAAACTCCCATCGTACGCGAAGCACATGAACGAATCTTTTACGTTCGCTTCTTTGCATATATTGTTCGTTCTGCTTAACGCACTGTTAATATTGTATTATAACATATAATTACTTACTTGGTGCGCAAGGAGGTATTTTCAGGTGTTTGCATCTATGTAGGTATGACGTCAGTAATTGATTGCATAGATATTATATTTATAATTCAATGGTCATTGTGTTCATGAATTACTCCTGCTTTCTAGTTGATGTGTTCATTATTTATGAAAGGCCACGTATTATACTGAAGGTAAAATAATCTCTAGTACAGAATGTCTGGGAATCCCATAAGTGGTTGATAGCATCGGCCTGGAACCCCTCAGATTTATAGAACCAAGATGGCGGCACATCCGTTTCCGGTCACGTGACCTGCGCAGTGCATGCTGGTTACCTGCGCGCGCATGCAAGATGGCGTCACTTCCGTTTCCGTTGGCGCGCGCCTGCAAGATGGCGTCGCATCCGTGTCCGGTGGCGTGCGCATGCAAGATGGCGTCGCTTCCATGTCCGGGGAGGAGGAGGGATGGGGGAAAACCCGAAGAAGCGCATGTACAAGGTGAACAGGATCGACATTGAAAGAAGCGCGTCAAAAATCTTTTGTGGGGGTTGTTGTTGTTCTAAAAATAGACGTGGGGTGGTGGTGGGGAAGGGAGGGAGGGGAGGGAGGGAGGGGAGGGGAGAAGGGGGATGGGTTCACGGTGTGGTAGGGTGGGAGGGTCGTCAAAGCAAAGGAGGAAAAGCTGTCTTTCGGGAGAGATGGGTGGCCCTGAAAAGGGCCGTTTTGATGTTTACATGCATGTGCATCCCATGGTACAAAGGCACGAATGAGCTTTCATGTCGCGTGTGACAGGACACCTACTGGTGTGCGTTAACCGACGCACGTAGGTGTCCTTCAGTACAGTCCCGCAGTACACGCACTCGAAAGTCCCATCCCGTACCCTTGTACCAAGGGCATAGACAGGCAGGCCCCCATGGCACCTGGCACATTGCCACGCTGGAGACCATGGTGGTGGTGGTGGTGGTGATGTTTCTTTCCACCCGGGCAAAGGTTGTGCCACTGTGGTGATCTCTAGATCCCAGTTTTCTTTGATGTTGTTGCCGGTGTTGTTGTTGTTGCTGCTACTCATCATGATGCTTTCTTTTACAAGTGACACTGACCCACTCGAATCCACTCTTGTTTTATAGGAGAGGCACTGACACCCTGCCTCCCGGTTGGTTCCCCAGGCAGCGTCCCCGATTGGTTCGTTCCGGGGCCCGGCCCGCACCTCGGTTTTCCAAAACGGACCGACCCCTGTGTTTCTTTTCCATAGGAAATGGATTTTACCATGGGTGAGAAAGCACAACCCCGGTTCGACCAATCAGAGTCCCGCTTGGTCCGAGCGCGGCTTCTGATTGGTCGACAACCCAGGCTTCCGATTGGTCCGATTTCGATCCGGTTTTTTTCTTCTTGGGTAGCCTTGGTATTTTTTTAGGTAGGCGGTCGTCTGAATGCTAAAGGAAGGTGGACCTTCATAGGTAGACATGAACGTGGGAATGCCTACGTGATGTACGTTGTGTCACTCCCATGCCAATCGGAATGTCATGTGTGAGTGTGTGTGTGTGTGTGTGTGTGTGTGTGTGTGTGTGTATGTCTTCAAACAGACGTTGACGTTGATGCATAGAATAGCGTGTGGTCAGGCAAAACGTGGTGTCCTGTGTGTGTATCGAGTAGTGTCGTATGGAGATGAATAGAGAAAGATCGATACACCTGCGTGACGTTTGCACACGTCATGGACTTCGTGTCGCGACGTGAACGTCATGTATGTACTTTGTGTGTTGTCATGCAAACGCCGTGCCCTGTGCGTGTATGTGTTTTCAAATGTTTTCAAATGTTTATTATTATTATTATTCTTGAAGGATACCGAGGTGTTGACACTCGTGTAGGTCGACAGGCGTACTGTGACAGGTGTTTTCATGCACACGTGATGTTTGACGTGGTGTACTTCGTGTCTCTATTGATCTATTGATCTATTGATCTAACTCTATTTATATCTATGTATTGTATTGTTAGACGTGTACCTCCATGAGGTCTAGGGGAGGGTGTGGGTTCTTTGTTTTGGATGGTCGTTGTACGGCAAAGCAAAGGAGGAAAATTGTCTTTTGGGTGAGATGGGTGGCCCTGAAAAGGGCCGTTTTGGGGAAGAAAAACTTTTCTGCTGCTATCCACTTGTGCGTCCAACCAAGAAAAGAAAAAAACAGTTGAACAGGAACTTGAACGGGAACTTGAACGGGTACGCAGGACATGGGAAACATCCTCCTAGGCAGCCGGCCGCGCTACGTCATTCGTGTACCTCTGTTTCTGGTGTTTCACCAGCACGGTTAGCTTGAGGTAATCGCAGTCTGGGGACCACTTGTGATGTGCCACCCAAGGATTGTCGTGGAGTGCCCATTGTCTCAGACGCACCCCACATTGGAAACAGCACACACCATCGGCACCCTGAGTGTAGACAAAGCCCGCATGGGCCATCTCTTCAGCAGTCTGATACATTTGCGTGGGCCACGCCTCAAACGAAGCGAGTCTTCTTTCAAAGCGTAAATAATAGTGTGATGGCGTTTGACTGAGCAGTGACACCGCCTCCTCGGCATGACTCTTACTCCAACATCCACGAGGTTCTGCACTATCCATCACCACATCTTCGCCACGCGTCGTCGCCGTACCACTCTTTTTTGTTTCAGCCATTCTTGATTTTATCTTTTTCACTAGTGACACTGACCCACTCGAATCCACGCTTGTTTTATAGGAGAAGAACCGGATCGAAACTCACTGCTTCCTGGTTGGTCCAAAACGCAGCGCACCGATTGGTTCGTTCCGGGGCCGGGTCCGCACCTCGGTTTTCCAAAACGACTCGACCCTTGTTTCTTTTCCATAGGAAATGGATTTTACCATGGAAGAGAAAGCACAACTCGGTTCGGGTGCTGTCTTCTGATTGGTCGACAATCCAGGCTTCGGATTGGTCCGATTTCGATCCTGTTTTGGGGAAGGGTTGTCCATCCATCAGACGTTCAGCACCTCTTAGAGTACAGACGTTAATCAGACACACATCGTTATCATGACGAGCAACCAAAGTACGCCCTATCGTTTGGAGAGGAAAGATATCACCCGCTCCAGACGGTTAAGAACCGCTAATCATACCTATCGTTTGACTTTCAACCCAGACTACTTGGACACCGTACCACCGGAACGCGTCCCCATGGAACTGCCAGTTTTATTTGACAGGGTGATCGATGACTTTTATGAACAGATGTCAGGTCAGAAGGGAGATCGTATGGGTCTAGGTATCGATCATCCCGCTTTGAACACCCCCATACGGATTCCCTTTCGACGTTTTGAAGATCTCCATGGGCTCGATATTTTGCAAGCCGTGGAAAAAGTCCAACAGTCCAACAAAGACCTGAACATCGATGCCACCATGGATGTGACCTTAGTACACGTCGCAGATCCCGACAGGCTAGGATCGGGCAGTGGCCATCTCCGACTGAAAAACGTGATTGGACTCGAAGCTTTTTTAACACGCAAAAAGTGCATCGTACGGATCAACAACCAGGATCAATCCTGTTTGGCACGGGCCCTGGTGGTGGCACAGCATTATGCCCACAAGCCTCACCCTCTGACCCCAGCATGGACCGCCCAGCGAATGAGACTGACGAGAACGGATCGCGTCGACGTTCAAGGCATACGGGCACGGGCCTTGTTTCGACGCCTTGGCCTGCCCGAAGGTCCCTGTCGTGGGCTGGACGACCTCGCACGCGTGGGACGGGCCTTGACCCGCCTGAATTATCAACTGAAAGTCTACAGTCAAGAGGTGGACCAGAGACTGTTGTACAAGTGTGATGAGGCTCCACCCCACACCACGGTGCTTCATGTTTACCATCATGATCAGCACTACGATGTCATCATGTCC